CCCCCCCCCCCCCCATTGTTGGCCAGTACAGGGATCCAAACCCTTGACCTTGATGTTATCAGCACTGCACTCTAACCAAGTGGGCTAACTGGCCAGCAGTGATCGGTACTATTTCAATACATAGTTGCATCTGCCCAGTATTCTGTTTAGGACTTTTACATTTATGATTTGAAGTGAGTTCAGCCTATAGTTTAGCCTGAAAATGGGCGAGTGTCCTTTTCTGTCTTTCTCTCTTCTCACTGCTTGCATAACAAAGCCGTCTTTGTTTATTGTGAAGCTGATCTATTCAGATTTGTTCCTGCCTTCCCATTTTGTTTTCTGTTCACCACACTTTCTTCTTGGTTCTGCTTTTGTGTCTTGATTCTTTCGTTGGCCTGACAGCCACTTAATATTTTACTTTATATCAATACCTAGAGTTTCTCAGTGTCTAGATTCTCTCTGGAAGATGAGAACCTCAACCAAAAGACAAAATCAAGAAGTAGATGCAAATCCATATGGCACGTGGCATTTTGCATCAGCAGGGTAAAGAAATGTCAGTCAATAAATGTCATTGAAACATTTGCCTAACCGTTTTGAGGGAAGGGCTGGGACCCCCTACCTCACACTTTATTTAAAAAGCTTTACTGAAATGTAATCTATATACCATAAAATTCACCCATTTCGAATGTTTCTATCTCACATTTTATCACAAAGTAAATTCTATATGCATCAAATATTTGTAGAGAAAAAATGAAATCAAAGAAGTATTACAAGATAGTTGGTGTCAACTTACTCAAAATAACCAGAGAGAAAGATCTGCCTGTCAAAATTAGAACCCAGAACCCAGAATTCATAAAGGAACAGACCAGTCCCTGTGAGTTCTGACATGACAGACAGGGCCGAAAGACAACCAATTGGGGAAACAATCAGAATCAACAGCTCAACTACATTTGCACAAACTTTTACAAGATGCAAAACCTAGTAGGAAAAACAGGCCAAGGACATATAGCAGTTGGTTCACAGAACAACAGACACCAAGAGCCATTGAACATGTGAGAAGCTGCTTGGCCCCACTTATTAACAATAAAACACTGAAATTCCAATAATGCAGATTTTCTGGAAAAGGTGAGAAACACCGTCCCTTCCCAGGTTACTGCAGTAAAAGCATGAACTCATAGGTGATCTGGCAATATTTAAAATTAAAATTTTAAATGCAGTACACTCAACAAAGAAGTGACAGTAAAGGCCCCTGACATACTGCTTGTAACAACAGAAAAATGGTCGGATCTACAGGATGGAGTGTAACACAGACACAGAAACAATGGGACAGGGGATCGGCATGTTTGTGAAGAAGCAGGAGGCGCAGGAGAGTCACCAGAGCAGGGACATGAGGGGAATGTACTGCAGGGGGGTGGCAGTACGCCCCGGCTATGTGTGAGAAGTTTATTATAATTACCATTTTAAAGCACACCAAAGGTTACAGGGCACCTGGACAACGGGTTTATGATACTGTTTGCATCGTTATACTTCTCTATATGAAAGGGAAAAAAACCTAATAATTTTTTTTTTTGGTCCTTTTCTGTGAATGGCCACACCGCGCTCAGCCAGTGAGCGCACCGGGGCCATCCCTATATAGGATCCGAACCCATGGCGGGAGCGCTGCTGCGCTCCCAGCGCCGCACTCTCCCGAGTGCGCCACTGGCTCGGCCCCCTAATAATTATTTTTAAATAAATAATGTTAAAACTCCCTTTAAATCTCTAAATAATGTTAAAACTCCCTTTAAATCTCTAATGTTAACATTTTCCACCAATTTACTTTTGAATACATAAGAGCTGGGAGCAACATTTTAAAATTTGCCCCAACACCTGCTAAAAAAGAACAGATATAATTGCTAAAAATGAATTTGAAATTGAAGCAAAAATAAAAAAGACTTCCTCAAAACTCTGACAAAAGAAAGTGATTTACTCACATCAAAGGTTGTATCTACAGAACACAAAGCCAACAAGGCATAAAAAGGTAGTAAACAAAAATTATGCACTTTCAAACAAGTCACTGTTGCAACAAATTCACCTGGAACTTCCCTCCCATTAGTTTCAGAATAACTCACTAGATACAACACTCCACCTTAAAGGTGGTAGAAAGTTTCCTCAAAAATTCTGATGCACGTGAACAGTAAGGCCACAAATATCTACGTCAGCCTGATTATTACCTTCCCATTAGTCCTCCTTGTCAAATGGGTCACTTCTAATTTATCACTCTCGGAACTGAAAGAGCATAAATTTATGCCCAGATTTCAAAGCCTACTCAGAAACTGTATTGCTGGGGCCAGCCCAGTGGCGCACTTGGTAGAGTACAGCGCTTGGGAGCGCGGCGGCGCTCCCGCCGAGGGTTCGGATCCCATATAGAGACCGGTCTGCTCACTGGTTGAGCGCGGTGCGGGCGCGACACCGAGGGTTGCGATCCCGTTGCCGGTCGCGGTGCGGGCGCGACACCGAGGGTTGCGATCCGTTACCAGTCACGAAAAAAGACAAAAAAGGAAAAAAAAGAAAAAGAAAGAAAGAAAGAAACTGTATTGCTGAGAACTTTCTAGGTTTCCCTGAGATGCTGGGCTCAGTGCTGGGGACCAGGAGCACCTTCAGTACTCACGCCCAGCCAGGGCAACAATGCACGGGACAAGGCCGAGGGTGGACACAGGACGAAGCTGTCTATGCAGACAGCACACCTGACCCACCTGTGATGCGCTGGTGTCAGCAGAACTGCACACAACATTCCACAAACCAGTCAGACAGTCCTGGACACACGCTCTACAAGGGGGGACAGAGGCTTTGACCACACTGTGGAGAGTGTCCAGGTTAAAAGGAGGCTCCTCACACACAGGCCAGGCCCTAGAGCCCTGAATGGTACACAGTAAGCCACCAGTTACTACTTTGGGTTATTAATATTATTATTCCTGTCAATGAGCTTAAGAAAAACCTCAAGAGACCTACTTCAATGAAGTAGGAAGAAGACAAGCACTTCTCAGATGAAAATAATCTAATAACTCAAAGAGAAATAAAATACAAAAATCCAAGTCAAAAGTAAATAGGGAAGTTTATGAGGGCCTAGAAGTGCCCGGACTGCTCACTCTCAGAACCTATGGTCAGCTTTGGGATTCTCTTCACTTGCGCCGCCGCCCAAGAAAGGCGCGTCCTACCTTATGGGTGCGGTCCATTTCAGACGTGCTCTCTTTAGAAGTCCTGCTGTCCTCAGTGGGGAATGCAGCTGCCTGCTCAGCTCGGTGATCATCTTCGTCCTCCAGCTCCTCTGAGTCATCCTCCTCTGAGTCCAGCTCCAAGCTCTCCCCATTCACGTGAAGAGTGCTGTCGCCCAGGTCCTTCTCACCCTGGAACACGGGCACACGTACAACCCTCACAGCAGGGCCACTGCGCATCACCAACAAAGCTGCTAACTTTCACTTATGAGCCTTGGATGATTGGGAGGTGTGAGGGCCTGCCAGGGGGCAGGGACACAATGAGAGGTGCCCTACCACCTGGAGAAGAGCCCAGCAGGCAGGTGACCTGGTGTGAAGAGGACAGGGAGGATGAGGTGGGGTCTCCAACGACCCACCTGGACACGGAGGCTGTGCCCCTAGAACAGAGGAACTTTAGAGCTTTGATTCCTTCCATAAGAATCAACGTCATCCAAATTACTAATCATCTCACATGATGCTCTTTTGGCCAAAGAGGTCCTGGACACAGAAACATATTTCCAAGCACATGTGACAAACAACTCAAATGTTCCTCTTACCTTGGAACCCACAGTGGAATGAGTTATACTCTTAAACATCTCAATCACCGTCCTCTGTTTTAATACTTTGGTCTTTTTCTTAGGAACCAGGCTATAGGTTCCCATTCTTCGTTTTTTCTTCCGAGATACTGCAGCTGCTAAAACAAAAGGCAAGCAAGCTAAAAAAAAAAGTCAAAAGGGGACAAGAAAGGAAAAGAAACACCATTCAAATGTTTTTAAAGGTAGGAGACAGCTTACAAACTCTGACACCAAAACCAGCAGATCTCATCCCATCAGGCGCACTTCCTGTGGCCACTGACACAACAGAGGCAGGTGCCCCTGTACATGACAAATTACAGAAAAAGCAGAAACACTCCCTTGGTCATCTGCTCCATTCACAACTACCACCCCACCCTGCAGGCAGGAACACCACAAACCATCATCCCTGAAATGCCTCCCGTACCCATCTCCTCAGCTTTGAGCACAGGAGAAGTCCTCTCACTGTGCAAAGTAAATCAACATGAACAGTATGTGCAGCAGAAAGAACATGGGACTGAGAAGGAAGGGGCCCAACCTCACAGCCCATCACTGGGGCGGCCAGGACAGTCTTCCTGGGACTCTGCACTCCATCGCAGTGAGGAGCACATCACCTGACCTCCAGGCAGTGCCCACCACAAATGCTCTGCAGCCCAGCACCCTTCGCCACACCCTCTTCCTCTCTCTGCAATCCAAGAACTAAGGAGAAAGGAGGTCCCTGAGGCTACTGTCCAGCTCACTACTAAAAGACAAAAGAGTAGGCTGGCTGGTCAGCTCTGCTGGTTAGAGCACGGTGCTGACAGCACCAAGGTCCCGGGTTCCATCCCTGTACCAGCCAGCACCAAAAAATAAATAAATAAAAATTAAAAAAATAAAATAAAAATAAATAAATAAAACAGAGTGAAGAAGGGAAGGAACAAACGTCTGGGGGACCTGGAGCAGTGGTTTTCAAACAAGAGGCAGCAGTGAGGAAACCGGGGGCTCTGATCCCTTTCTGAACAAGGCAGCTTCAGGTTGACTGGTTCTATGCAATGAGACTCTATACGATGTTTTATTCTTTAAAAAAGTTCCAGGGCTTTAAAAAAAAAAAAAAAAAGAGAGAGACCTAAAAACCACTGCTTTAACATAGAGGGAACTACTGAAGGATTGGATTGAAAAACATGTTTTAGTTCTACAAAACACAGAAAGAATGTTGCAGGAGCATGCACCAGCAGGGACAGGGGAAGGCCAACAGGAGAAGGGCCACGTGGCAGCCACCGAAGCACAGGCTCCGCAGCCCACACCCACCACAGGGCAGGGAGGTCTCGTCAGCCCTGGGGCTGTGGGGACCCGGGCCACCACCAGGCTATTCACAACAATATCACCCCACGCGTCTTGCAGTGCGTTCACTGCAGGGGAGAGCTCAAACACACAACTCAACACACAAAACATGGCTCTGTCCATCCACGGGGTGGACGGCACAGCTGTCCTCAGGCCACAACAGTCCCTAGGTTGCCCTAAGAACATGAAATTCACTGACGTAATCTTGATATTTTAAATGTTTTTTGGAGGGGAGGGGAGCTGGATTTAATCATATAACTTTGAGGTCTTTCAGCTTTAAATATACATACTTTCTCACTAGATTTTTTCCTTATTCCACCTCAGTAACCCATAGTAATTAATGTAAGAGACCAGGGCATGCCACCTGTTTTTTAAATAAAGTTTTATTGGCACACAGCCACGTCTATCTGTCGACACATCACCTATGGCTGTTTTCACGCTACAACAGCATACAAAGTCGGGACAGAGACGTGTGGCCTACAAAGCCTAAGATATTTACTATCTGTCTCCTTAGAAACAGTTTACTGATTCCTGTAATGAACTGCAGAGCAAGGACAAAGGAGACAAACCTGCATTTTATTCAACGAGGAATCATGTCAGGGAGCCTGTCAGCTTGGAAACAAAGTATGATGTTCTAGTAGTATTTTCCTATTCGGTTAACTAGTTGTACATGTAAAATATGTGTTAGTTAAGTGTTGGATTTACTATACTATAGTATAGAAACATCCGTGAACAACTTCTAGAAATGCAAGCTCCATTAAGCACATGAATACTTATGAACAGGGGGCTAAAAGCAAAACAAGACAGGGCTGCCCTGGTGCTGCAGGGGAGGGCTTCGGCTGTGTCCTGGTAGAGAACCCAGGCCTGGACTAGAAGACGGATGCAGAGTGATCAGGGCCCAGGAGGGAGAACACCACAGGAAGGCTCATGAGGCTCCTCCAGCGCTCAAAGAAGAGGACCACTGCCCTGAGGATGGGGCCTGGCACACAGGAGCCCCATGGGAGAACAACACTGGGAAAAGGGGGCAGGAGGCTGCTGGGAACCTCAAGCAAAGAACTCATGTCACTGACTGGCATCTCATAGGACACTTTGGGAGATCCAAGCACGGAACAGGGGGTCCCAGGAGAGACAGGGCGTGCAGGGAGCAGGGGTGAAGTAGGGGGTTGGGGGGGCGCGGGACACTGCCCAGTTGCTCTACAGAAAGGCCGGGGTGCTTGGGTGGAACAGGTGTAGTTAAGGAAGAGAGACAACAGGCTCCAGAGAGCATAATAGGTAGGAAGGAGGGTGGTGAAGGTGTAGGAGAGGGGCAAGCACACAGAAAACACAGAAGCTCGGTGACTGCTCTGCAGCTCTAAAGCGATCTCTCCCCTCAGGCCACAGAAAGCAGGGCTCCATCTGCCTCACTCCCAGTGCAGCAGCATCCACAGCCCTGTCTCTGCCGGTCAAGCCACCTTCCTCCTCCCTCCGTGACTGACAAGCCCATGTGGAGACTCCAGTCCCATCTGGGCTCTAAACCCAGCACTGCTCCCACCCACCTACATAGAGAGCACCATACACTCCACGCCCACAAAATAAATGAACAAAGCCTCCTCACCAGGAGTGTCCAGTGGTGACAGGCTACCAAATGCAACGGAAGCTCTGCACGCAGTGGTTACTCTGCAACATGGCAACAATCTGAAACTTCTGAAGTGAAACTCAAATTGCTTTTTTTTTTTTTTTTGGCAGGCCTGTACAGGGAAGTGAACCCTTGGCCTTGGTATTACAACTCCACACTATAACCAACTGAGCTAACCGGCCAGCTCTCAAATTATTTTCTCACCCAAGTTTTTTCCCCATTTTCTTTACTGTGATAAAATATACATAACATGAAAGTTACCAATTTAACCATCTTTAAGTACACAGTTCAGTGGCATTTAGTGAATGCACATTGCCATGCAGCCATCACCACCCTCCATCTTCGGAACATTTTCATCATCCCAAACTGGAATTCCATCCCCATTAATCAACAACTCCCTATCCCCCCACCTCCAGCAACTGCCATTCTACTTTCTGTCCGTATGATTGTGACTACTTTAGGGACCTCACAGAATCCTAAGGAACCCTACGGTGTGCCTTTTTGTGACTGGTTTATTTCACTCAGCATAATGTCTTTAAGGTTCATCCATGTTGTGACACATGTCAAAATTTCCTTCCTTTTTAATAATATTCCACTGTTATGTGTATACCACATTTTGCCCATCAATTCATCCCTGAATGTAAATTCAAGTTGCTTCCACATTTTAGCTATTGTAAATAATGCTGCTGTGAACATAGGTGTGCAAATACATCTTCAAGACCCTGCTTTTGATTCTCTTCAGCATATACCAGTAGTAGAACTGCTGCATCTTGTGGTAATTCTGTGTTTAATTTTTTGAGGAGCTGCCATACTGTTTTCCACAACAGTCGTACCATTTTACATTCCCACCAGCAGTGCAGAGGGGTTCTAATTTCTCCACATCTTGCCAGCACCTGTTATTTTCTGGTTTTTGGTTTTGGGGGCTTTTTTTTCATAGTAGCTGTCCTAACGGGTGAGAGGTGCATCTATTTGTGGTTTTGATTTGCATTTCCCTCATGGTTAATGATGTGACCATCTTCTCATGTGCTTAGTGGCCATTTGTACATCTTCTTTGAAGAAATGTCTATGCAAGTTCTTTGCTCATTTTTTAACTGGGTTGTTTGTTATTGAGCTATGGAGGTATCAGACTTCTTCATATATTCTGGATAGTAATCCCTTACCAGATATATAATTTCCAAATATTTTCCCTCATTCCATAGATTGCTATTTCATCCCTTACCAGATATAGGATTTGTAAATATTATCTCCCATTCTGTGGGTTGCCTTTTTATTCTGTTGATGGTATCTTGTGATACACAAAACTAGTTCTTGTGAAATCCAGTGTCTCTCTTTTTTTTTTTCATTGTCTATACTTTTTTTGTCATATCCAAGAAATCATCGCCAAGTCCAACATCAAGAACTTCTGTCCTATGTTTTCTTCTAAGAGTTTTATAGTTTTAGGTCTTTCATCCATCTGGAGTTAATTTTTGTGTGTGGTGTTAGATAAGGTCCAACTTCATTCTTTTGCATTTGGTTATCCAGCTTCCCCAGCACCATTTGTTGAAAAGTTGTCCTTTCCCCACTGATCGGTCTTAGCACCCTTGCCAAAAATCAAGTGACTATATATGTGAGAGTTCATTTCTGGGCTCTCTAGTCTATATGTCTGTCTTTACGCCAGTACCACACTGTTTTCATTACTGTAGCTTTGTAGTAAGTTTTCAATCTCTATCTTTTTAAGTCTACTGAGACTTAATTGTGGCCTAACACATGGTCTATCCTGGAAAACGTCCCATGTGCACTTGAGAAGAATGTGCATGCTGCTGTTATTGGGTAGACTGTTCCACGTATGTCTATTAAGTATAGTTGGTTGATTGTGTTAAGTCCTCCACTTCCTTGTCTTGTTTGTTCTTTCCATTCTTGAGAGTGATTACTGAAGTCTCCAACTATTATTGTAGAATTTCTCCCTTCAATTCTGTAAGTTTCTGCTTCATATATTTTGATGTTCTGTCATTAGGTACATAAATGCTTACAGCTGTTATACTTCTTGCTGTATTGAAATCTTTATTAATATGTAGTGTCCTTCTTTGTCTCTTGTAACTCTTTTAATGTAAATTTCTATTTTGTCTGATATTATTAGCACTGCTGCTCTCATTGGTTACTGTTTGCATGAAGTAACCTTTTCCATCCTTTCACTTTCAATCTATTTTTGTCCTTGGATCTAAAGTGGGT